GTAGACCACAGCAGTTTAGGCACTCCCACGGGAGCGCTGCAGCATCAGTCGAGGCGCGATCACCAGCACATCGATGAAACGCTGTATAGCGTAGAACGAGCCAACCTCAGGCAGTTGCTGCACACATGTAGCGACACACACGTCAGCCCTATGCACTACACTGTAATATTACTCATACAGTACTTGAGCCACACCACGCATGACTACGACACCACGGAGTGCTATGGTGACATATGACCATATTTATATAAGATGTGAGCGATCAGATGTTAATATGCATATGTGTTTCACCCTTGAGCTATCCAATATTACTATACCTGAGCTATGGATATCACTACACAAGAACTATTTGATTTCACTTACCTTGAGACTAATCCAATATACTATACCTGATAGCATATCAATACAACTATACCTGAGCTATCAAATAAACCTATACTGAGCTATTGATATTACTATACCTGAGCTATTTATAGAACTATACGTGAGCGGCTATTTATATAACTATACCTAGGCTATTGATATCCATCTATACCTGAGCTATTAATATAATCTATACCTGTGGCCTATTGAATAACTATACTCGAGCTATGATATCACATATAACTGAGCTATTTATTAACTATACCTGAGCCTATAATATCAACTTATACCTGAGCTATTGATATAAACTATACCGGAGCTATTTATATAACTATAGCTGAAGCTTTCTTAGATAACTACACACTGAGCTATTTATACTAACTACACCTGCAGCTATTTAATATACTAAACCTGAGGTATTGATACTCAATACACCACTGTACGCTAATGAGGAGTAGAATCTGCCTACATGAGAAGATGCCTAACGTGGTTGTTACCTTGAGCTGTGAGGCGTCTTGACATTGAGGAGGTCCACGTCCAGCATACCTGAGTAATCGTCTTCTCCTCGTCACATAATATTTACATTAAAGTTCGGCGGACACGAAACACTGCAAACAAACAATTCTGTTAAGCTACAAAGGAAGAATGCCGTGATTTTGTAATAGGATTGCTCGTACAAACCCAGCAATGCATTACCACTACTCATAGCTCACCTCAATACTACTGCCTATATCTACTGACTACTACTCATAGCTTACTGCATTTACTACTGGGCTTTAATTACCTACAATTTAATACTCATAGCTACTCCATTACTACTGCCCTATTACTATTACTACTACTCCTCCTTCTCCCTTCTGAACAATTGAAGAAAACGTTGGAAAATCACCGGCTCCATAAAACACACAGGAATATTTTGCTTACAATACAGTTTGGCAAGTGTGACGTCACAAGTGGTGCCACCTGGGGACTGTGTTTGGAACTATTTCTATTTCATAACTTCGGAAATCTTGGAGCATACGAACTTTTCGTGATGATATAATATTCGGATTAAAATAAATATGACGATAATTTATCATTTCAAACACTGGTAACATATATTTTAGGTCTATCTCAATGTATTTTAGGAATAAAACTTTTTGTAAAATCTCACCTTTAAGAAGATGTCGCCGGTTTCTTCTGTATTCTCTCCCTTCTGTAGATTTGACATTGTATGATTTTGGCTCGTCTGCCAATTTGACCACATTACCTAGTTTGTCATAACCTTTCGCTGTTTGCATGCGAACAGTGTCCCCTGTCTGCAAAGGTATGAGTGGTTTAGATGACTTGTCAATATTCTTCTTCTGCTGCTGTCTTTTCTCTGACAGTTGGTGTTGGATCCGCTCAGGGTCGAATATCTCTGGTTTTAACAGAGCTTCAGCCGTAGGAATTGTTGTGGTTGTTCGACGCGACAAATTCCGTTGCGCTGGCGATCCCAATGTGTTGTCTCTTGGCGTATTGCGCCAATTCAGAATGTTCAGGTAAGGATCCGTGCCGTCTGTGAACGATTTCTCTAGTAGCTGCTTAGCAGATTGAACAGCTTTCTCCGCCAGTCCGTTGCTACTGTGGAAATGTGGACTGCTCATTGTATGATGGAGTCCCCATGCTGCTGCAAAGTCCTTAAATTCTCTCGACGTGAACTGTGATCCACTATCGAAGATCAGCATGTCTGGAATACCAAACCTGGAGAAATGCGATTTGAGTTTCTGCACTACTGTTTTAGTCGATGTGTCCGTAACTGTGTTCAGTTCGAACCATCCAGAGTACTGTGACAAGGTACATCATGCTATGCCACTCAAATAGATCCGTTCCGACTATTGCCCATGGTCTGCTTGGCACTGGATATGGTAGTAGTGGTTCTCTCGATTGGTGCGATTTTGTGCTATGGCATATGTTGCACTGGCCTATTATGTCATCTATGTCTCGACACATGCTTGGCCAGTACATGATGTCTCTTGCACGACGCTTGGTGGCTTCTGCCCCCAAATGACCAATGTGTACTAAGTTAGCGTATTCACGCTGCAGTGCTTTTGGTACCACTATTTTCTGACCTTTCAGTATCACACCCTCGTCTTCAATCAGTTCATCACGAAATGGATAGAATGGTTTGAGCTCAGGTTCACTTTTCGACCAACCCATGACGATGGCTCTGTGAACTTTTTGGAGTGTGACGTCGTTGGAAGTAGCTTCCTTTAGCTCCTCCAGCTTCTTACTACTGATCGGCAACACTGACAGTATTTCATAGTCCTGTGTGCTCTCTAGATCTGTGTCACTGCCCTTGATTGGCAAGTATGCCCTCGACAATGTATCTGCTAGGTAGAGATCACTACCTTTCTTGTACACCAGGTTAAAACTGTAGCTTTGCAGCCTCAACAGCAAGCATTGCAATCTTGCTGGAGCTGCAGATAGTGGTTTCTTCACTATTGATACTAATGGCTGATGGCCTGTTTCAATCGTTGCCTTTTTGCCAAACACGTAATCACGAAATCTTGTGCACGCGAAGACCACCGCGAGTAGTTCTTTTTCTATTTGCGCGTATCTTGTTTCAGCTTGTGTTAGGGCACGCGATGCGTACGCGACTGGTTTTCCATCTTGTAGGCATGCTGCTCCAAGACCACTCTGTGATGCGTCACATGTGAGTGTTACGCCTCTCTTGACGTCAAAATACGCCAAATTTGTCACTTGTGCAATACTCTGCTTTATCTCGTTGAATGCCTGCTGCTGGGATATATCCCATTTCCATTCATTGTCTTTTCTCAGCAGTTCATTCAGCGGCGCGGCCTTTTCACTGAGGTTAGGCACAAACTTGGCGAGATATTTCACCATTCCAAGAAAACGAAGCAGGTCAGTCGCATCTTGTGGTGTCGGCATTTCACTGATTGCTCGGACCTTTTCTGGGTCTGGTTTCAGTCCATCCTTGGACAGTACATGTCCAATGTATGGTACTTCTTGCAGCTTGTACTGACACTTGCGCACACTCAACTTTAAGTTGATTTCTCGGAGACGCT